TCTCGACAATATGCGTTTTTGCTGGCTGTAGCAACTAGCGCTGCTATAGTGCTGCACAGCAAAAACGCATAACAACAATTATACAACAAACATTATTTTCTACACAATAACAATTTTACATCGCACGTATAATGTTTAATAAAAATTATACATCAAAAGAAAATTTATTAATAGCGATACATTAACAGTGCAGTTATAGTACAACTTAACATTACTTAACAATTATCGGCTAGGAAAGCAACAAAAAAAGACTAAACCATGACAATCGGAAACGAGAACACTGCAGATCACAGTAATTCTTTCCCCATTCGTTTATTGCATTTCATTTCATCGGATAAACTTTCGGAAGCGATAACGCTGTTGCTAAAATTGGGTGTCCAGTCGTCAGCGATATACAGTGATTTTTTGGCCAGTTGCCGGCGAAATTTGAATGATCAGCTTTCGACGATACAGTCACAAAAACAGGTCAGTTTTTAGTGGGGCTTAGTTCAAAGTACCAATTTCCTTTAGTTTTTTTTTTTTTTTTGACTTTTCTTATCTTTCCGGCTAGTTTCATGCCTAGTGTTGTGATCGTAATCTAAGTACCACGTAAGTTTTCATTTTCCGTTGCCTGCTGCGGGGCTCTGTTACATTGTCGGGATGTCTTATCGTTAATTATCAATAGCACAGCTAGCATTTTCTCAACGAAAAGGATCTCATCTGAGCAGCACAGCAATGGTGCCATTTCTTTAAACACTACTTTTGATGATTGCCGTGGATTTTTATTGTGACAACGACGACCGCTGCTTCATCTTTCTGAATACTGATCTTTTGCAGAAGATTTTCGCCTCAGTTGCAGTTTACATCAAATTCATTGCAGTTCGCTGTTCAAGCTACGATTTTTCTTTATTTATTGAAGGACGCTGTCGATGTTTTGGAATTTGTGGATAATTGTTGTAGCGCGTTTTTAGCCGATTTGTCACTGGTTACCGCGCTCAGTCAACGGTTCTTTCCAAATCAGGTTAATCAGTGTTACTTTTTTCTCTGTGAATCCCATCAATTTTGAGATTATGGGTGCTGAATACGAAAAGTAGAACACCACTGTCGCAGAAAAACAGAAACTGTTACACAACGACCAATGGAGAAACGAATGTTAGGTTTCAGCAGGGCACAGCATATACGCAACAATGAGCTTCGACTACGTTTTGGTGTAAAAGATGTAAGAGATGTATGCAAGGAGAAGAAGCCAGGTCGGTTACGTAGCAAGTATGACTGACAACAGATGGACGAAATGCGTCATCGATTGGTACCCACGATATGTAAAAATACCAGTAATTATCGTGACTTATTCTGTTTACGCGAATAACTTTTGGTACTACGGGAGAAGAAGTATAAGTGAGCTGAAGAACTGCATGAGTGATGAAAGATGATGCGGAAGTATTTCTGAATTT